CCTGCGCGCCTCCCCGCCCCCCCCCCCTGCCTGCCGTGCCTGCGGGGGTCCCGGCCGCAGTCCGCTCTGCCTGCCTCCCTGCACCTGCTTATGTGTGTCTTCTCACCTGTGCGAGCAGCCTTTGCGCAGCGCCGGCACTCCCTGAAGCGTCCCGTGCACCGTTACCTGGTGCCTCCTTCACACCGAGGGCTCGTCTGCTGGGCCCCCCCTTCTTCGTTTCAGGCGTGTAGGAGCAAAGAGAGGGTCACCTGCTGCCACGTGTTGTGGCAGCTTGCACAAGATCCCGTGCTTCTGAAAGTTCAGGGCTTTTTGACACCTACGGTAATGAATCAATGAATCCTCTCTCCCCTCTATTTCCTAAACCAGGAGGCACACACTGTGTCACAAGACAGGGTTGTTTTTTTCAGATCCGTTTAGTTCTAGTAGACATAAACTCAACCTGACAATTGCAAAGCTTATTTGCAGGTAAATGTGTCTTCCATGAAAAAAAAAATATTTAAAAAGTGTAATAAAAAAAAGTAAATGCAATAATCAACTAACCAAAATCTAAATGAAACTATCTAAAGTTTCTCATGAAAGCTAAGTAGCCGTTGCACTGCGTGTTGCTGAAAGAATGAGACTTGCAACTCCAAGCTCTACAAAGGCCTCTTGTCTCCTGATGTTAAATCATCCTTGGTTTTGACAAGGAAAGAAATCAAGAGGTGAAGAGACATGCCTGTTTTTCAGACCTCTGCAAACAGCCTTTGGCTTCCGTGTTTGGCTTAATGGAATTACACGCCATCGGATGTTACAGGATGTAGCTCAGCTTCTGCTCTGTATCCTGTGGCAACCTGGGACTCCACAAGAAATTTGCTTCTATGGGAATATATTTTGTAGAATTAAAACTCATTAATTTTACTGCAAAGTTAGTTGTTTTTACAGGGACAGCTCTCTGGCATAAGTGGGAAAGAATAAAATTCACCTCATTATTTTTGCAGGGACTGTGCAAGTCAGTAGGAGCATAACTTCATTTTTTTTTTTTTTTTTTTTGGCTCTCAAAATCCACAGATGGTGGTTTTAAATCCCCTTGCCTGGTACAACTGATGGGGAGTTGCAGCTGAGCAGTGGGTGCTAAAACAGTGCAGTGTCTATAAAATATGGGTCTGTTTTACCAGTGGCTCCCTGGCCTTGCAGTCAAACCTTGCATTTCACTGTCCTATGATTGAGTGTTGTTTCAGCCTTATTCTTTTCTTTAAGCTTCCAGAATTACTGACAAAGTCTTGCCATATGAGCTGAGCTGTTTGTTATCCCACTTGTAGTAGCTTTTCCTGGATGCAGAAATAGTTTTCTCATTGGATCATGTTGCCAAAGTATGGAATTTTTTTAATATACTTCCCCCCCCCCCCATCATCAGGAGGGCATGGATTGAAAATAATAGGATTTGAATCCAGCTGCAGGGAACAGATGCTGTTCAGATGCTCGTTGCAAGCTGTTACCAGGCTTGAATAGGGAGGAGCTGATGAGGTCAGCATGTGATAGGCAAGACCCAAGCTTTCACTGGTGGGATGTGTGTGCCTCAGAGCAGAGTAGAGAACACACAAAAAATTGGTGGACTTAAGACACTTCCACAACAACTCACTTTTTTTCCTGGAGCTCAAGCTTGCTAAATGGGGAATATTAGGAATATTAGAAGTAAACAGAGACATTTATTTGTCTTTGGTGTCACCAGAAGTGATCCCCTTTGGACTAAGGGGGTCTGATGGCATTGTGACTGACCAGTGGAAATAGTTGAGGCCATGGCTGAAGCTGCCTAATTTGCATCTAAGTGGTAAAAGTTTCCCATTTTGAGCTCATCCGAAGTTGCTTTTCTAGCTTTGCAGGCAGCTTCTTGAACATGTTCCTTTGTCAGTTGCTTATTCCCCATGCACATTTTCTGCAAGCAGCTTCTGGAAGGTACTGTATTTAAAAATTACCCTCTGGTTGCACTACTGTAAATATATTCTGGCTATATCTGTCAAAATGTTTCCAATTTGCTACAGTATAATTATTCAGATTTGTGCACTGTGCAATAAGTTGAAGTACTTTAGTTTAAAGAAAATAAAAGACTTTGGCTCAGGATTCTGAAAATGTTTGTAGTTGGGAATTATGTCAGTCAACAGAACTTGTAATTTATAGAAAGTTTGTATGTGTAAATGCCCACGGGGCAAGTCTCTTTGCACATCAACTACAATAAACTGAATGTTTTGACTGGTATTGAAGTTATTTTCTCTGCTTTTTGGCAGATGTCAATGAGTTAACAACTATAAAACAAGAACTGAATCACAGGATTTCTGTTCAATCAGCAAAGTTGCTTCGTCTTCTCAGGCAGAAAGACAGGCTTGTGCATAAAGTCCAGAAGAACTGCGATATTGTCACAGCCTGTTTACAAGCGGTTTCCCAGAAACGACGTAAGTTCTTGCTCTGTGCATGTGTACTGGTGTAAGTAGTTGATTTTGTTAATGTGGGTGGTGTTTCAGTTAAGCCCTTGCTCTTGGTTTAGAGTCAAGAGGCCAGGCTATGCTAGTCCGTGGATATGACTGGTTTCCAGTGGTGCCAGTGGCACCTGGCAACAGGCAAAGTTCAACTAGGTCGGCTGGGTACACTGCTGTAGCCTCGGCTTTGTGTGCTGGTGTGGCAGCCTTACTGCAGGGTGTCTGCCAGGCCTTTTCAGCTTTAATTTGCAGAAAGACCAAGTTGAATGTTGTCGTGTGCATGTGTTTAATTGTGTGCTTTTATATGGTCCTAAGGGACATGCTAGAAGTGGAAATTACTCTCTCTGGAAACTAAAGGACACCTCGTGCAACTGTATTACCAGAGCATTGTTAGTGGTGTGTAACTCCTTTCTATCAAGTTGATTCAAGATGGGGAGTATTAGTAAAAACAAACCTAATTCCCTCAAACCCCTTTATCAGCACCTGTGATTTTTGGGGTTTCAGAGAGAGTGTGTGGGAAGGAGGAGAAATGTTGCTCTTTAGTTGTTCAGCCTTTTCTTCCAGAACAGTGAAACCTTTTTATTTGACTTGGCAAAGTTGTCATCTAAAGATAAAGAGTGAAGTGCTTTTGTTAGTTCTGCTAAAGTGAAAGTGTTGTAATGCAGTATGTAAAAATAAATAGAAATCATACCTTTAGAAAGCATATGTGAAAATAACCTAATGTTCTCTGTCTTATTTTTTTATTAACATGCAGCATGACAGAAATGTCCAGGTACAGTAAATAAAGCATGGTCTTTTCACAAGGGTGCCTGTAGGAGCTTTGAGGTGCATGTAACAAAAATAATAAAATACTCTTACTTGTAGTGGCATGTGCTAATGTGGTTTAGTCAAGGGTTTGTCTGTTACTGTGAAACTTAATTTTAAAGTATTTCAAAGTGTTCCTTTGTTTTACTTAAACCTAGAATGAAAGTTCCTGGCTGTCATGCACTGTGTAGGCATTTTTTGTCTTCTCACCTGCTTTTTTTCCTTTTTCAGTATCAGCTTGTTAATTGAGTCTTCAGTGCTATTAAAACTTAAACATATACTTTAGTCTCCTTTTAAATGAGACTACCTGAATTTTGCATGTGTTTAAGTTATTTAGAGGATTTGACTATAAATTCATGACCTCATTTGTTATGTAAAAACCTACTGGCTGAAAGAGACATGGGATTTCATCCTAAATATGAATGTGTTTTTATGAATTTCAGGTACTGTTTTACATTTACATTAGTGGGACATTAGTTTAATATGTGCTAGTAACAACTCAGATAGCTGAAGTTTTAAAGTAGTGCTATTTATTGCCTAATATCCATGCATGTGCATGCAGGTACTTGAAGACTCTGTGTAGATTTGTATATTACAGCCCTTTAAATAAGATATTTTTTGTATTGATATAGCATATTTTACCTAGTGTTAATTTTCAGTTTATATTTCTGAAAATCCAGATGTATGTATTCCAGAGCATCAAAATGTAGATATTTCTTGCCTTAAGACCTAATCGAAAACCACTGGGATTTGTTGAATGGCTTCTGATAACTTCAGTTGCTTTGGAATAGATTCAGGCTTTGGTTTTATTTCTCAGTATAAATGTGCTAGTACTATACAGAGAGTGCAGAAATAAGCTTTTGTGTAGAATTTACAATTACAAATTTTGTGGTAACCGTGTCTTTAAGGCAATATTTGATAAGTTGTCCAAAGGCAGGCAGAACTGGTTTTCTCCCCTCCAACTGTTTATTCTTGTCTTCGTACTATTTCCTGTGTAGTAGTAGCAGTAGGAACCTCTATGTGAGATACAATGAATCAAACTGGGGACGTGATCCAGTAAGATAATTCCTTTTTTCTTTTCTGTATCAGTTCCCTGTTTCCAGTTTCTGCAGAGGGTAGTAGAAGTGGATGCACAGGAAAAGGTGATTGCTTAGAGTAGTTTGAGAAGTACAGCTGCTAAATATGTATTTAAATCCTAAATTCTCATCAAAACTGTTATGCTAACAGTGGAAAGATGTATCTTCTATCCTTTTAACATTAAAATAAAGAAGAGTTAATGTGATGGAACAATCAATAATTAACATCTTACCCTTTGCTTCAAAATGCAACAGTTTTCCTACTCACTGAAGCCCTTGGAGCTAGACTATCTATAGACTACTCACTCGTTTTTAAATATTCAAAAAATTATTATTAATTTGTAGAAGTTTTCTTTGTTCCAAATTTTTCTGATGAAAGGATATACTAGCAATATCATTTTATGTGCCATAAAGCTTTATAATGTGCTTTCATGTGCAGCATTAAGATTATGACATCCTGTAGTACTAAAATTTTTAACAAGTATGGAAAGGTCGTTAAAATACTTCTTCCTTGTAAAGCATGTTCTTTTAGTGGCAACTTAAAATTTCTTGGAGTCATGTTATCTTTATTTCTAACGTTTCAAAATGTAAGTGATTCTTCAACTGGTTTATATAGAGTTTCATGGTATGTTTATACTATTGTTGCACTGGCAATATTTTTCCCCACATACAATGAAATCTCTGTGTAGAGTTGGAACTCTAGTTTTATGTTAACCTCAAGTTCATATTCAGATGTTTGAATGCTACTCTTAAGTAATCTGTACAGACCAATTGCAAACAAACACTGTTTCAGGAAAAGATGGAATTTCTGTCTTGATGCTTAATTCTGGCTTTGTCAGACACTTTTTGAACACTGCCTGACAAATTCAGCCCTAGTGGTAACTTCAGTTTGTTAGAAAATTACAGGACTGATACATTTGATCTCTTATTTTCTGAGGAAATGTCTTATGCTTTATTCTGCTTCAACAGAGGAAAAAAACAGCTACTGTTTAACAAAAATCGTATGCCTACAACAGTGTATGCTGTGAAAGTTCAGAGTCCATAGGCTTTTGCAGAGCCTGCAGGGAGCCATCCACTGATGAGTCTTTGACCTGTCTTGGTCTCTGCTCTGTGCCCAGAAGGGGCATGGTCCTCTGCCAGCTTTGGAAGCCCATTTCTGGCTTGCTTGTACTTCAGAACCATCCATACTCAACCCAGGGCCTGCAGCATTTGGACTCCTTAGTGGAGAGAGTAAATGTGGAGGAGCAAACAGTCACCAGGGATGATTTAATAACTAACTTACGGTGTTTCTCATGATGCTGTTGACCCTTATCCCTGGTAGATGATGTATGTTTTGCTTACTAATAGGTATTACCATAGAAAGCAATATGCACTGCAGTATGAAATGCATTTTGGTCAGAAGCATAAGTGGTTATGGCTATGTTGAGGGAAGAGAAATTGTTCAGTTGGATACATGCTAAAAGCAGTATGCTGTGCTGTACATCTAGTTTGTAAGATATGACCGACCAATTTCATTTTAGTAACACTTTTTTACCCAAATCTAAATAAAATACTCCAGTGAAGAAAAGCAGTAAGAGAGAAATCACAGGGATGGCCTGATGGCAAACACGGCTTCTAGGTACACGTTTCTCTTGCTCTTGTGATTCTGAATTATTTGGTATGAGAAGACATAAGTTTATTTTGTAGCACTTTGCAATATTTCAAATCCATCTTAGAAATGTACTTTAACTTTGCAATATTTCAAATCCATCTTAGAAATCAGAGTGCTTTATGTACTTAATTATATCATTTGAGAAAAGCAGAATTCAGTTAAAAAAACCCCACGTTTTTGCATCTATCATCTGAAGACTATGCAAAAGACACCACATTCTTTTCTCTCTTCCTGTATTTATATATTGACAGCTTATATTACTGAAAATATTTTGACTGATCGAAGTGCAAATGAGAAGTTTATTGAATCACAGTTTTTTACTACCTGTCATTTTAATTTAAAAAATATGCACATATTATCTATACATTATTTATAAGTAAATTATCCAGCTCAATTGTAGCTCACTCTGACTGGAAGCAAGCCAGGAATGCTAAAATCTGATTCAATATAAAGTAAGGTGAGCTGATACTAACAAAATTCATTAGTATTATCTTCCTTTTTAATGGAGAAATAATTTTAGTAGAAAACTTCACAAAGAGATAATTTGGCACTATATAGCTATGGTGCTGTCTACTTGTAAAAACTTTCAGTGGGTCTCATGCCGTGTTCAGAAAGACTCTTTGTATTCTTTCTTGTAATATTTATTTAGAAACTAGGATTTAAGAGAAGTAGTATTCTTTGGTATTTTAGCACTGACTCTTGTAGAGAATTCTCTAAGAGAACAATTAACATTAGCTTTCCATTTTTTTTCACCTCCTGGTTTGATCTAACGGAGAACCAGTAGAGGGAGACATAGTATTTTATTTTGTGCAGATCTAGAGGTGCATCTCTGGTTTTTGTAAGCTGGTGGCTTTCATGTCCTTTCCTTAAATGTGAAGGGCAGTGCTTTACAAATGTGGTCAGGCAATAATTTGATTAAAAGATTTAAAGTTGGGCTGTCAAATAAATGTTATTCTCAAAGGCAGTATTTGGTTCCGTATGTGGCGTAGTTGAAAAATGGTGGCAAATGACTTTGTAATCATAACTGAGATAATTAATTCCCACATGGTTATGAAGGTTATTCAGAAGCTCCTGTCTTAGTGGGCTGCATGTTTTGGAGTCCAGCTACAGAAATTCAGAGGTGTATGTATCTACTTATTAGCAAAAGTTGTGATCTATTTGAGGGCATCTGAACTGGATAGAAAGCCAGCACAAACTGGCATCAGCAGGGTACAGATCGGTACCCTGTGTATTCGCAGGGGTGAACAGAGTTTTGAGGTGGAAGATCAAGCTATGAAGTCTCCTCAACTTCTGAGAACATGTTACTGTGTAGCATCAATTCTTGTCAGGGCAGGTGGAACTCACTCAGAGGAAACTGGGAAAGCCTTTCCTGGTGTTGTAGTTGTATGAGTTGGTTAGGAGAGGACCGGGCCCGATCACCATCATCATGTGTCTTTGGATAAGTG